TAAGTAGATATATAGATTTAATTGACTTAAGTATTTTTTTTCATCTATGATATTTTATATATTATATATATATTAATATATTAATAAAAAAAATATAAAAATAGATAGTATAAAATATCTAATTTCAATAATCTTAAATAATTTCTTATAGCTATTATAGCTAACTGTTTTTGAAAAAGTAAATGAAATTTAAAGATTAAGGATTTTCCTTATATGTTATTAAGTAGGAAATAATAAAAGAATACAATTTGTTAATTTTAAATTAACACTTCTATAGTATTTTCTTATCAGAAACTAAGAGTGAAAGATCTTTTATACATTTTACAGACTTAGTTAAAAATATAGTAAAGTTAGATTAAAGCTTTATGAATTTAAAGAATCACAAAAATGATAGTATTTGAGCAGTCAGAAAGCAGTTAAGTAATTTATAAATTATCATAATTTTTTTTCTGAACTTACTAATTTTTATCCTTTAAAATCCTATTCAATTTATAAAATATTATAATTAAATCATTGTAACTAATCAGTTTTATCAATATCTAGTAAATTCTGTTCAAAAAAAAAAAAGATTCTGACTTAATGCTAATTAAAATAATGATCATATTAATATAATAGTTAAACTTAATAGGATTAAAAAACTTTTAGAATTTATTTTGTTAAAAAATTAGCAAAAAATACAATTAATAATAGAACTTAATGATCAAATTAGACAAATGTAATAGAATTTAGAAAATCAAAATAATCAAATTGAATAAATGCATTAGTATTTAGAAGATCAAAGAAATAAAGTAAAAGAATTAAAAAAAATTGTAAAAAGCCTATGATAGAATGAATATAATACAAAATTTGTATGAAAAGTAATATAAAAGTAATAAAACTTTAGTTAAGTAGTAGATTTCATGATTTGATAGTTAAAATAAACATATCAGTGCAATTATAAAAATAGTAAAAGTAGAACGTAAATTATTATTCAAAAATATAAGTTAACTAATTTAAAATAGTGATAGATTTTCTTTGAAGAATATTAATAATTCATGTGAATAGCTCAATAGCATAATTAGATTACTGTTAAGTTTATTGAAATTCTAATTCAAAATAATCAAAACTCTAATATTTTTAAATCAAAAAAGCTTTTTAAAATTGCTATTATAATCAATTCAATATATGAGACACAATATAAAATATGTGTCAAAAATTTAATTTTCTACTTTAGATATTAAATATTTGATTGTATGATTAAAATTAATTATTAATATTAATAATTATATTATAAGTTTAGAAAGTTATTATCAATTTTAAAAGTAGCTGAATGAATTAACAAGCATAAAAATTATTATTTGAAGGCCTTTTAGTCCTTGCATTTAATAATAAATAAAAAGGATAAAAGAACTATTTTAATCAAAGATCTAATATGATTATTTATTATATAATTATCATTTTCATTACTTTTAATATAGTATCATAAAATAAATTTAAATATACTTATTTATTTTAATTATATTAATTACTTTTTAGATTATAATATAAAAAATTCTTTAATATTAGTTCTTAAATACAACTATATACTTACCTCTCTAAAATTCTTAATTTATTATCTAAAAAATCATTTTCTACTAATATTATTGATTCTTTTATAATATCTATAATAATTAATATTACTAATATGAAATTTTGTTTTAGCTATAGTTAACAAAATATCTAAAATATAAAATGTTATTACTAATATTAGCTGAAATTCAAAAGAAATTAAAGTCAAAAATATTACAATTGATTAATGAAATAACTTACTTATCTTTAAATCTTATAATATTGATGACAAACAAAGTATCATATGTATTCTTAGAATCAGTCTTATTTAACAAAAAGTTACTAATCTGAGAGTTAATATTCCTGAAATTTACATTTTTAATTTTTTTAATATTAATCCTAACTCAATTATAAATGTTGAAAAGATACTTTTACATATAGAAATAATATCAAACATTAAGGATAGAACTCACAAGTAGATTATTATTACTTGTAATAATATTCTATACTATTATATTACTAAATTGAATGAAAAGTAATCTTGGTTAATTCTTATATCAAAACAATTATATGAAGAAATAAATATGCTTTGAGTATATATAAAGTTAAACTGATAAGTGATATAGATTTAAAATCTAATATTTCTCACTTTAATATTACTAGATATTTTTTTTATACATTAGAAAAATCGATTTGAAATAGTTTACAATCAAAGTTATTAGATTAAAAATTAGCTAACCTATTTTAAAAAATATATAAATTATTATAAGTCATGAGATTTGATTTGTGGCATATAATATTAAGCAATAGCCTTAAAACTTTTATAACTATCTATAAAAACTATTCTGATCCATCTATTGAAGAATATCTTGCATAAATTAAAAAATAGCAAGATCTGTTTTATTAAATAAAATATGAACAGATCACTATTAATTGATTTTTTTTTAATTATTATTTTTTAAATTAATACTAATTTATTTTTTAATAAGATATTTGTTTATCTTCAAGTAATAATTAATTATTAAAAAGCTATAAGAATTAATGATCTTTTTCAAAAGAACTGCTAAAAGAACTTTTCTCTTATTTGGTCTATAAGACATTATATTATTCTATTTATTATTTAATAGATATTTCTAATAAAATTTAATTGATGCATTTTCATTTTAAAATGCAGAATATAATAGAGAAAAATTGTATTATTTCTTAATTATTTATGAATAATACTAAGGGTTAGATACAATTATAAAGAAGGCGAACAAGATCTTAAAACTTTAATACCTTATATTTCACAATATCATCATTAGAAAATTATAGCATATAATTGTAAAAGTTATTTAAAATAAATTTTTAATTTTAAATTAAATTAATTTTTATATATACATATATTATTTATTTATTTTAATTTAAAATAATTTATTTAAAATAATTGAATAATGATCACCAGAAATTGAGACTAAAAACTTGATCAAAATTAATTATAAAATGCTAAAAATTCTAAACTCTTTTGCAAAGTTTTGAATTTGTAAATTCAAAAAATGTACAGACTATTTATCAAAGCTTTAAAGAAGAATATGAGTTGACTAAATATTTAAAAATTTCACATATAATGTAAAACAATATTGACAAAAATTTATTATTGAAACATATATTAATAAAAAACTATCTCCTTTTTTTAGGCTAATACCGATTATAAAATAAGAAGCAGATATATAAATAAAATGAAAAAAATATGAACAAAATAAAAATTTTGTTAAAGATCAAAACTCTTCTTAACAATTAGATGAAAATACTTAAAAAAAAATTATCCTAAATTAAAATTAAAAAAACAAAATGAATTATTAGACATATTGCAAAAAATAAAACATTTATTCACTTCAGATAATAAATTTAATTTAGAATAAATTTTTATTTGTACAATTTGTATTTTTTCTTTTTATTTAATTAATTTTTTTGATAAATATATATTCTAATAAAATTGGCTAACATTATTAATTATAAATTTTACACTATTAAAATTTTACGCTTATTAGAGAAAATGATTATTATAATATATTATTATTGGTATTTTAATCTAATAAACTTTATGATTTCAAAGCAAAATATCATAATGCAAATATTTGCCAACTTCTATACTTTCAATTATGATTTTTCTTACATTTCTAGAGTAATATTATTATTGTAATTTTCTTGAATTAATCTGCTTGTCATTTCTAATACCAAAACTTCATATATATAATCCATCAGCTTTAATAAAAATGCTTTAAATGATATAAGAATATCTAAAATAACGAATAAATCTATCAAAATATCAGCAATAAAATATAATTCTTTAGATCTATAATATCTAGCCTATAAATTAATATGATTTAATAAAGTTTTATAAAACAAATAATATAAAAAATAAATTTTAAAATTAATACCTGAAATATCTTACATCTATTAATAAATATCGTTGGTGATTAGCCTTATTATATCCAATTTCTTGATAAATTGAAAAGGCAATTTCTTGGTAATAACTTGCTAGGTTTCTATTGATAATTTCTAAAAGTTCATTTTTAAATATTTGAATACGTAAAACTAATTGATTAAAATCAATAAATTTTGAATACTCTTTTAATAACCGTTTGTAATGATATGTAACTCAGCACAATTGAATATCATTATTTTCCAGTGTAGCTGTGAAAATCATTGATATCCGCTATTATCTGATACTTCATGATTTTTTATAATTAACAATAACTATAATAAATCGTTTATCAGGCAAAAAATCATTATCAGGCATTAATAACTTTTATTAAGGCACATTTAAAACTAATTTAGTACAATTTGTATAATAAGTTTTATTTATAATTATTTTTTTTCCCTTTCTTTTTTTCTTTTGACGTGTATTTAATTCAGAAGATGAAATTTCATGTAAAGGCCTCTTATTTTTTATTTAATAGTTGCGAAGTCTTACTAAAACCATTGGATGACTATACAATTTAAATTAAATGTAATATAAAATTCAAATATAATAATATCAAATTTGATTTGTGATTCGGGGGCTCCTGCGGAGCCCCAAATCAACCAATTGATTTTCCTAATATAATAGTTATTCGGCACTTCGTGCCGAATAACTATTAATTACATATTAACCAATTTATTTTGACATGCATGAAATATTAAGAAATACCAATAAGATTATCTGTAACAAAAATATTTATATTTTAATTCTATTTTATTTATAATGTATTCTCAAATAAAAAATTATATATTTTTACAAATTTTCTAAAATTGACTTGCATATGATAATCCAACTATCCTTTTTGTCCTCAATACTTTTTATTCAGCCGTTACTTTAAGGCTTAATGACTATCTCTACTTTCTTCATTAAATAAGAAATTGATATAATTAAAATTTCAAGTTTATAATTAATTAAGTAAAATTTTTTTTATCATATTACAGTATCTACAATATAAACAAAAAAGTCCGTTTTATATAACACCATCGTCAGTACCATTAACATTTACAGAGTCCAATTTTCCCAAACATCTCATTAAAGCTTCTAATTCATTTCTAAAACCTCTGATTTCAGAATTTTTTTTATCGATTAATACTCCCCACTTTGCTTTCCATCTCTCAAGTTGCAATTCACCTTGACGTTTTGTCTCTACAATTATGTCCTGTAATTCTTTTTCTCGTTTCATGAAGCGTGCTTCAATCTCGGAAATTTGTTTTGCTAGCGCATCAAGCTGTACTGTTGTAGCAGGAGCGACATCAGATGAAAATTGTGCCAATGGAGGTTTATATTGTGGTGGCGCATTATAAACCATGTCAACCTTTTTAATTATTGTTTGTTGACGAGCAATATTGGTTTGTCGCAATATTACATTTTCCTCCTGAAGCTGTCGAATAAGTTGTTTTGCAGTTTCACTCAAACCTTCAATTACTTTAGAATCAATTCCATCATTATCAACAAGTTTTGTTATATCACGTGTCTTTCCATTTACGAGTTCTTTCGTACCGTGGAATACATTACCTGGTAGGGAAGGTACAACAAGTGTAAGCAACTCACGTTGACGTTCAAGAACATTTTCTAGACCAACGCATCTTCCTTTCAAAACACTGATTTCTGCCTCTTTTTCCACCGTTAATTTTCTTAATCCTGCCACATCTTCATCAGCAGCAAGACTATTTTTAGTGGATTGTTGTAGAAGTGTCAATGTATTCTCATGAACTGCTTGTCGAACAGCTTCAGATGTAGCCAATTGAGCTTTTAATGTAATATTTTCAGCGGTAAGCGATTCAATTTGACTTCGAAGTTTTTGAATTTCAGCTGTTGAAGCTGGCATTAAATTCGAATTATTCGAAGAAATTGGTACACTTTTCGATTCATTCGATAATGGTTTTGTCGTATCACTATCAGAAGTTGGTTCATTCATATTTGCTCTTCGAGATTCTTTCCGTTCCATTTGTAATAACTCTCGCAAATGCTCAACTTGTGTTTTTAGTTGTTTGACAGTAGTATCGTATCCGCTACCCCATTGAATTTTTTCTCGAGTAATAGCTAATAGTTTAGATTCGGCGTCAGTAGTTCGTTGATGAGCAGCTTCAAGTTGCATGTCCCTTTCCTTAATAGTACGTTCAAGTTGAGCAATAAGTTTTTCGATGTCCGATATTTCTTGGTTGTCATCGAGATCTCCAAAAAGTCCCATAATATCACTAGTTATAGGTAAGGAAGAAATATCACCAATTTCTTTATCAAAAGGTAAAGCATCATTAATATACTTTATAGCATTACAATTACCGAGGCTTGGAGTATTCCCACTAGATCCAATAGCGTCTCCTGTATTGACAACTGCACCACCATTTACAGCCGTTTGATTTGCGTTATTAATCTTCTCAACATAATTTTCACATTCTTCAGTTTTTTCAAGGTAAGCATTTTGATAATATTCTAATTGTTCTTCCTTTCTCTTTAATTTATCCACCAATTCTTCAATAATATTTTGTTTAGTATCCAACTCCTTTAATAAATTTGGTGAAGCCATTACAGGTTGAGGCGGATTGTTAATGATATTTGCGGAACTGTTTTCAGTTGAATCAGCAGGAAGTTCCAATAAAAGTTCTTCCATTTCACGCATTTTTTGATCATATTTTTCTTTTCGCTCGGCATTATCTTTTTTCAATGTTTCAACTTCTTCTTCAAGCTTAACTTTTAATTCTTTTAACAACTTCACTTCATCTTCTAATTTTCCCACAGTCTCACGTGAAGATTTATTTTCTTCTTCCAATTTCATGAGTTTAACTTTCATTTCAGCAAATTCTTCGCTAGAAATATCAAGTAGATCATCTTCTTGTAAATCTAGAAGATCATCCTTACCGCTCAAAGCACTTATATTGGATAAAACCGAAGGTGTGGGACTTACTGTACGAGTAACGGTACTGGCACGCGACATTCCGCCTAAAGAAGATTGTGAAGTGGTTCTTTTGAGAGTTTTCGTGGTAGGAGAACGTGGTGAACTTGTTTCTTTGTTAAATTTTGAAACGTCAGCAGTAGACTTGCGTCTCTTAGTAAGAAGTAAATTAGTCCTTCGTAAATCAGTACAAATCTGTGTGATTTCTGGATTTGAACCATATTTTGTTTCAATTTTTTCAATAGCGCTCTGTAATTTACGAAAACGACTTTCACGTCCTTCCTTCGAAATTGCTTCCTTTTTAATGCCCTCAATTTGTGATTCATATGTATATTTCATCATGTTCATTTCTTCTGTCATTTTCTCTAATGATTCTGTTCTTTCTCGAGATACAGTAACGATTTCTCCACGCGCCTTGGACAATTGATGTTCCACATCATCAATTTTAATCATATATTCACTTTCTCTATCTCTGAGATCGCTCAATTCTTTTTTCAATTCATTCATTTCTTTGAGAGCAAGTTCTTTAATTTCGTAAGTTTTTTCTTTCTCTTTTAATCGTTCAATCTCTTTCTTCATTTCCTCAATTTGTTTTACAGTTCCTTCTGGCACTGTTTCTTGAGTTTCTTTCTCATACAACAATTCCTTCAAATGTTCAATCTCACTATATAACTCATGGACTTTATTATGTTGCTTTTCTTGTTCTGCATCCGAAGCCCCTAATCGTTCATTCATACTTTTTATTTCACTAACTAACTTATCATTTTCCTTCTGATAACCACTAATTAATACTTCTTGGTCTTCCATTTCTCTTTCTATTCTTATTAAATCTTCATGGGTAAGTGCAAGAGGTTCTTCTTGTTGTTCAATAATATCTTTTAAATCAGATTCATAGTTTTGAATTTTATTTCCGGCTTCCCATAATTCATTTTTAAGATATTCAACTTCAACTTCTTTGGAAGCAAGTGTATGTAATAATTCTTGATTTCTCTTTAATAAATGAGATTTTTCAGCAATTGCAACTGTTGAATCTTGATATCGCTTTGACATCTCATTTAAAGTTTCTTCAAACTGAGCATTTATTTCATCAAGTTCACTTGATATCTCTACAGTTTTAACAGGAGACTTTAAGGAACGTTGATAATCATTTGCATTATTTGAAGGGGAAGGAGCTTGAATAAGCCTCGCATTAGCACGACGTAATACTGTTCTTTTCTTAGTCAGACGAGGTGAAGCAGGAGATCTTACCATGTAACGTTGTTCTTTACGAGTAGGGCGTCCTATAGTAGTATCGATTGTTATACCAGGCCCTTCTTTTGCATTATTTTGCTCATTAGAAGAATTAGAGGATTTATTATTACTATCATTTATACGTCCAGAAGAATCTTCATTATTCATTTTTGAAGAATCATTTTCGATTATGTCAGTTACTTGTGTTGTTATAATGGTATTAGAAGTAACGGAATTTGAATCAGATTTGGTATCTTCCTTTTGTGAATCAGCAATAATGGACTCGCTTGTAGTAATCCCTATTAAACTTGCTAAACGAGTTGGTAATGATAGCCGTGATTGTGAACGATTTGTTTGTAATACATCAGCATTTTTTGTAATATCTGTTTTTTGTTGCTGTCCTTTATTTCTTTTTAATTTATCATCAATCCATTCATCTGCCATGAAAGAACCTGAATCTTGCCTTGGGTGTTGTATTAATGTTTTACAATTATGATCCAACTCTGATAAAGTATTATCATATTGACCAGTAGAATTACTAGAAGCAGCGATTGTTGAAGATGGTTTGGCATGTTTTTTTGACTCCCCAGTTTCATACATTTTATTATTAGAATTTGATGATGAACTATTATTCTTACGACTTTCCTCACGTGAAGATTTTGTTGCATGATTACTACTATCTAATCCACGAAAAGTCTTCAATTTAGCTTCCCTTAAAATATCTTCTACCATAGAATGGGGAACACTCTTTTTACTGCTAGAACTACTATTTGAATTTCTTATTGATTCAATAAGTTTTTGAGTTTCCGGTGATAAGCCTTGAATTGGCTTGTCACTTTTACCATTTTCTCTACCACTACCATCAACAAGAATAGAATTTTTTGATTTTTTACTTGACTCTTTTCTTGACGTAGTATTTTCGTTAGAGTTATGACCCTGCGAATCTTTTTTTCCAAAGCGATCTTTATCGCTCATTGTATTTTATAAAATATTTACACTAAAGCAAATATATTTGCGATTAAATTTAATTTTTTTTTGGAATCAGGTAATTAAATGTGGTGAAATGTAACTTATAAAAGAATCTAGAGTGTGCGTTAACAAAAAGGCAAAATTACTTTTTTCTTCCAAAAACCAACCATAAATATCGTTTAAGGATACTAATGTATATCGTTTTAAGCGACTCAAATGCAGACCCAAATTTGGTAATGATTAACGCCCCAAAATTGATCAATGTGTACTTTAATTTCCATTGTGTAAATTTAACAAAATTCATGCAAAATGATATAAAAGTTAAGTTCGTTTTCCGAAACGAATAAGAGATTTTTGATCGATAAAAACTATAGCAAAAGTCATTATTCAAGAAAAAAATTGATTTGGTATGATTGGTAATCATTGAATTTGATGATCGATAAATATATAACCATTAAAGTGATATTTATAATTAAAAATTTTTATTAATAAAAAAAAAGTATGAATTTTAATATATATATTAATATCCTAAACTATTTAATTAAATAAAAATATATCTTTTATTTATTTTTATTTAAATAGTTTAATTTATAAATAAAACTTGTATATTAATCATTTATATTTGTAAAATAATAATATAAAAGGATCTTTAATAGATAAATTATATAATTTACAGTTATAATAAAAATGTTTAATAAAAAAAATATAAACAAATATATTTAAAATAAAAGATTTAAGATAAATTTATTTTTGTTTAATATATTAATATTAATAATTAAATTTATTATTTTAAAAAGTATTCTTTTATAATAAAATAATATTAAATTAATTTTTGGTATTACATTTTTCTCTTTCTTTCTGATTTTAAAATTTTATCAAAAAAAATATATATTTATTTATAAATAAAATTATGAGTTTCAGATTATATGATTGATCAGTCTGAATATCATATATTTAGCAAATTTTATTTTAAAGTAATATATGATTGATGATTAATTATACTCTATCTATTATTATTTTTTTTATGATTTTTCATTAATTATATATTAAAATAGAATTTTATTACTTTTTTTTACTTTTTAATATTTAAAATAATTTTTATTATATTTTAAGTATATATATATTTCAAAAATTTGATTTAGCTAAGAATAAAAGAAGTAAATAAAGAAAAATTTTCTAAATATTTGATGATACTACTTCAGATATACAGTATATATATAGGAAAAATAATTTAAGTATTAGTTTATACTAATAATAAAGGCTTATAAAAATTTATAAAAGAAAAAATAAATAGTCATATAATATTAATAAAGTTATTTTATTTTTTTCAAGTAAAATTTATAATTATTTTTAAAAGAAATAACTTATTTATAGATATCACTTCAATTAAATTTATTAAATATCTTTAAAAAACTTAAAAATATTGAAATTAAACTTTCTATTTAAAAAGAAAAAAAATATGTTAAAATTTATTTTATAATAAAATTATTTTACTTTTAGAAAATAAAAAAAATATGATAGATTTGTAATACTTATTAAACTATAGTCAACTCTTTCTATAATGAATTTTGATATAATAAATTTCACATTATAATAAATCTTTAATGTGATATAGATTTTTCATATAAAAAAAGTTTTATTATACTAAATTATACTAAATAAATGCTATATAATATTTAACGAATTATAATTTATTAACACAGCATAAATAAATAATCCTTTTTATAATAAATTTACTTATATCAAATTTTTTTTGATACAACGAAGATTTTTTTTCAAAATATGAAAAATTAAAAATAAATTATTTTGATTATAAAAGATAATTTAATATTTATTTTTTTTCAAATATATTAAATATATATTTTTTAATATTAAATAAATTAAGAAAAATGGATTTTATATTTCATATTTTATGTTTGCATATTATGTTTAATTTTACTTTTTATTACATATTGTTTTAAAAAATACCAAGTATTCTATTTAACTATTTTATTATATAATTTTTTTTTAAAATATCAAAAATAAAGTTAACTTCAATTTTATCTAAAGTTCTTAAAAAACATAAATCTCTTATTATATAGTCTAACCTCGATATACTGATAGTTTATATACTAATAATTGACATATACTGATAAATTTTCTTTATCCTATTTTACAATTAATTAAAAAACCTCACTATACTGATATTATATATTATTTCACAATGTAACATATACTGATACAATTTCTTTATCACTTAATAAGTGATATATAGTACTATATACTGATATTTCAAGTTATACCAGCATACAGTTAACTCTTGTTATAACGAATTCTATGTCTTAGATCTCAACTTCACTATAAGGTTATAGTGAAGATTTTAA